ATCATGCAGTTATGCAACACAAATATTCAACAGTACCTAATGTTATAAGTGTGGGAGAGTCATGCTTCGGCAAAAATGGGTCGCTCGGAAGAAACCACAGCGTTGCGTTTCGCCGTGTGAGTGAGGTTACCGGAGGCCTAATCCTTCCCCTCCTCCAATCCCTCCTCAATCCTTAAATCTCCAAATCCCTAATCCCTAAAAGGTCGGCAACGCACTCGTAACTCCTCCGTTGCGGGTGTCCATGGGCGGCGCTGATTGCTTACCATCAGGTATTCCGTCTGCTCGTTTGCCGACCAATTACATAAAAAAAAATGACACGCCCTGCCCTGGGCGGGAGGGAGTGTTATTTGATGATTTTCCGCTCACAAAAAAAAGCTAGTTGTGCATTAAAGTTATTATTAAGATTTATTTTATTTCTCATTCATAGTGATTAATTGTTGTTTTACCTTATTTACGTACTAAAAGCTTTTGCCCGCGACTTTGTTATCGTGGAATACTTCCTTCTAGTTTCCTGCAGGTTTTTGGTTAGAAACTATCCTATAATTTTTTCGTTAAAGTAGGTACCTACTATCCTATGTCCTTTTTCGAGTTCCAAACTATGTGTGTACAAAATTTCACACGAAAAGGTTCAGTAGTTTAGGCGTGAAGAAAATACAGACAGACAGTTATTTTCGCATTTATAATATTAGTTTGGAAAATATACTTACTTAATACTCATACATATAAGGATATAATTATGTTACGGTAATTCATATGAATTGTTTATTTCAGGATATTCCTCTCTCTTTTTTATGTGATCTAGGGCTACAAATGAGTAAACGGATTACCTGATGGTACCTGATGGTTTCGAGTGAGTTGGCGGCCTTTTGGGGATAAGGGTTTCGGAGATTCAGGGATAGGGGAAGGACCGGTTGAGCCTCCGGTAACCTCACTCAGACGGCGAAACACAACGCTGTGGTAGTTTCTCACAGGTGTTCTGTACAAATAAAAAACAAAAATATTTAATGATAATCACAACTTTAGAAAGTTTAAAAGAAATAAGTAATTATGCTACTTGACGTCAAAAAAAAACGTCATTGTGTGAAACATAAAAAAAACTGAGTCATGATTTCTGTGATACCTATTTATTTATTTTATTAATTTTTCAGCCCATTCTTCACACCAATCACGCTAGAAGATCAGCAACGTCTTTTGGCACAGATAATTTTGTCTGTGTAGATTGTAAAAGATATGAACGGGCTCTTAGACGGAGAAAACATTACAGAAGATTGTTGCATCGACAATCCTATAAACGATTAATAAAAAAGACGAATGCTTTAGCAAGAGTCATGAAACACAGAAGAAATAAACCATATAAATATCCACCGAAATTATATCATTTTTCAAAAAATGCTACGAATAAAAGTTGTCAATGCGCGACTCGAATCGTTCCCGCCAAACCGAAATTACCGCCAAAATGCGACGATTATTTTTTATCTATGCTGCCGAAGAAAATGTCACTTGTCAGAATGAACGCGCCAAATATTCTAACCTCAACTAAAGGGTTGATTTTGAGAAATGTGAAATCTCCGATTTATATTATGAAGGGTGCTAATGCGAATAATGTGAAGGCGGATTCCGATTCCGGTCGTCCTGATTCGATAAGCCCTCGTTCCGTAAGTAGTTACAATAGTTATATGTCTATGGAGCATGAACCTATGGTGAAATAATTCGGCAATCGTGGGAACGAACTACGAACGCTTTTGTCAGTACCAAAGGTCGCGATATTTCCAAGCGTTTAATCTTGTTTCAATAAACACAATGCGAAGGTTTGATCGTGTATACCTATTTTGTAATAAATTGTTTGTTTTTTTCACTAAGATTTTTCATTTCCAATGTTAATGTGAAGAGAGAAAAAGTTGCGCGATTGTTTAAAAAAATTTTTTTTGAGTAGCAACTGAAGTGTCAAAGTTTTAATTTTTTTATCGTGTAGTTGTTCATATTTTTACAATCTATACTGCTTCTGTGCACCAGGATTAACAGTAGTAAAATCTACATAGGCGCCACCATGTGAATAACGAAGTGAAGGGAACTAAAACAAGTGAGTATTTTGACGTTTGTGTACATGCGAGATGAGAAGCGAAGTTGTGTGTGAATTTCGAGATGATTTTCGAGATGAGTTTAAAATTACGATTTACAGAATAGCATTGCAGGTTTCATCACGATGATTACCTCCACCGTATGTCAGTGGTGACTAAATAATCATAGAAAGTACATATTTATAACTTAGAAAAAAACATATTGCGTCCACCCTATACTAGTGTGACTGCATGGCATGACTGCACGGTTGGCGCGGTGGCTGGGCAACTGGCTGTCGTGCCACGTGTCGCGGGTTCGGTTCCCGCACGGATGAACTCTTTGTGTGATCCACAAATTGTTGTTCCGGGTCTGTGCATGTGAATTTGTTTGTTTGTAAACTCACCCACGACAGAGGAGAAAATCCTAGTGTGAGGCAATGTTTTTTTTTATATATGTATATGTGTAGAGGTATACCACAACGCTATAACTTTAGGTATATTTATAATGATTTCATTAACCTATTTTCGGTCACTAGTGACTGTCTCGCAAGCTTGAAATTCAAGTGAATCGCCCTGTAATGTCCCGTTGACCTTATTACATGGGATTTACCGCATTGTATATGAATAATTAGTAGGACAATAATTATTATTACTTGTTGTATCTATTTATTTGTTCGTATTTTCCTTGTCAAGTCGACATAGTAAGGAAGGTTTTCAACATACCTAAGTCTGTCCTGATATAGCGTTTAACAAGTGGTCGGAAATATCTAAGGCTAGCTTCCGCCCGTGGCTTCGCGTGTAAATGTAATGTACCTATCCCGGGATTTTAAAAACAGATACGTTTAAAGCGGTAGCTCGACTAAAATACGCAAATCAAATATAACTTATAGCTACTTTGCTTTTTAATGTAATATCGATTTTGTTAATTTTTTTTTAAATTTCATATATATTTTAATTGTAATTATTTTGTTTTTATTGTATATATGTACATGATTTTTATAATGTTCTTAATGATGCTTTAAAGCTACGCTCAACATCAATAATTTGTGCATGATGTGCTTACCTATAAGAAATTGGTACACTAGCGTATTGGTCTCTTGGATGTATCATCTTATTGTATCAGTGTATTCAATTGTTGGTGAGCCAAATAAATAAAATAAAAAAAAATACTTAGGAAAATTGCAGCTATCAGCTCTCAGTGAAAAAAATTTGAAAATCCGACCAGCGGTTCCAAAGGTTATGCCCTACATACAAACTTACAAATTGTACCTCTTTATAATATTAGTACTTGTAGACCGGACGTAATACCAAGGGCGGATCCACCGTTGTGGGCACGATGGGCATGCCCACAACCTTAATACACTTGTGATTGAAATAGGTTTGGATCGAAACTGACTATTAGAAATTAGAAGAAATCGTGCCCGACTTCTTCCTAAGGCCAAAGTCCTGATGCTCCGAAAAAAGGAAATCTAATTCATAAGTTCATAAACGATTTGCATGATTGTTAATGAGCACGTCCTTGCTCCGACTCGTACTTAGCCGTTTTTCTAGTAGCTGTGACCACAACCTTTTTTGAAGGCTGGATCCGCGCTTGCGTAATACGTACTGCCTTCAAAAAGTTAAGTATCTCGACAGAGCAATTGGTACGGGAAAGAAAATTGTTTTTATATGTGGTAAGACGGCAAACGAACTAACTGATTACCTGATGGTAAGCAATCAGCGCCGCCCATGGACACTCGTAGTACCAAAGAGTTATAACAAGTGCTTTGCCTGTGGGTTACTTATTAGGGATTTAAGGATAAAGGATGCGGGAAGGGAGAGGTGGAGGAATTGTCCTTCCGGTAGGTAACATCACTCACACGGCGCATCACAACTCTATACTAGTTTCACGCCGGTTTTCTGTGAGGCCGTGGTGTCACTCCGGTCGAGTAGATCCGTTCGTGCCGAAGCATGACTCCCACACTTAATAACTTAAGCATAACAGGTGTTTGGCGTAGCGAGTAATTAAGTAAAATATCAACATTGAAACTGGTTGATTGCAATTTTATGTAAATTTAAAAGTACACGTACCTACGTAATATTGCGTTTGTTGTTCTTTGTGGGGATAGTAAAGAGGGGGAAATTAGTAAATGTCTTCTCCCGCCATAGTGCGAGAGGGAGTCTCAGACTCTTACTGATTAAAAACTCCGTTTCTTCTCATTCTCCAGGCGAAACATTATTGTGCTTGTCCCGGCTTAATATCGGACCCCATCTGCTCAATATCTGATCTAGATGACTAATGTGCCCGTGTGTTCTTCTCCGCAAATATTATTTTCTAAATTATTTCGTTGCGGGATCCAAGACAGTCCTTTATATCCCTTAGACTTCAGTGTTCCGGTGTAGACACTGGAGCACAGGAGTTGCAGCCATTTTGGGAGGGTGTGGAGGGCTTGCCCCAAAATAAAAATGGCTCGGGGTCGAGACTGTTGCCAAATGTAATGTAATATCATCGAATAAATCATGTGTCTGCTCCATCAGTGCACTGAGACGTTTTAGGGCAGTTAATTCATTTGCCCAACTACAAGAACCAATCTTGCGATTTCGTGCGTGTTTGCAACCGTCATTACTTATACTCATGTGAAGGTCCACCAAGAGTTCAGATTGGTCAGCAAAATTCCCAAAAAATAAAACTTAAAGTTCACACAAAAAAGTCGTTACTATCAATTTCCTTGTTGGATTTAGCTAAAACTTAGCAAAAAGTCAAGAATTTCATGTAAATCCAGTACAAAAACCGATCTAATGACCGATTGACGGTCATCAGCGGGGTCATTATCTAAACCATTACAACATAACCCGGTCAATTAACGTTTATACGCGATGTATCAATATTGACAAGTAACAAAGTACCTGTTTTACTTGGTAGTATTATGAATGTATATTATGTGACTAATAAAGCCTTCAAGGCTCAGTTCGCGCGAGATTCATACGCATATAAGACGTTAAATCGATTTCTTGTTGCGTTAAATCGAAATAATAATAAAAAATGAAATAAAGTTAAAAAAGTTGTCTTTGAAAATATTTGACGTTATTTTTGGCGCGAATTGGCTTGTTAGGTTATGTATTTTATTTAAATTTTGTGTTTTTTTCGTAATAATGGCGAAAAAAATGAATGTGAACGTGTTTTTTGTGTTATTTTGTTTTATTAAAGTGGTATTGTCACAAGGAACTGGTTCGGGGAACGACGGAAACTGTAAGTTAAATCACCTTCTCTCTTTGTTTGAACTTGCGAACTTTTTTTTTTCAACCCGTAGACGATAACCTTGTATGCGCGTACGTTTTTTATTTCGTTCAGCAAACAATTATTATTTTCGCTATTGAATCATATAATGGAGCCAATAAAACTTTAATTATAAGCATACGTAGACGGATGATCCTCGTCGATCTGCAAAATAATAATAATAAAAACAAAAAACGAGCCACGACCTTCGTCATGATGTAATGACATTGACGAAACTTGAATTAAGAACTTTAACCTTTTTAGAGTATGAGTACATAGTTATAGTTCGTTCCATAATTAGAGACAACGATTTGACATTTCGAGTGTTGCAAGTTTTTTCCATTTTAAAAGCTTTATTATTTGTAACTACTTTCCCTGGTACCTTCCTGTGCCCATACTAACTCAGTCGGGTTAAAATCACAATGGTAAGGAGGCAACCGTAAAATAGTGACCCCTCTTTTAGCAGACATCAGTCCACGACGTATCGTTTATAACTTACTCTTCTCTTTCCGGGAAATCTCCAACAGCTTGGCTTTCAGCATAGGTTCCTCAAATATAATGTTTTTCTTTTAGCCAGTCTTGGATTTCACATTTTTATTTTAAATTATTATTATTAATTCGACTAAACTATGAAAAACATCACCGCAATCTTGTTTTATTTTGCTCAGGGTATTTTATAAAATTCGGTATCGGTATTTTATTTAAAACATCGTACTCGGGCCCATCACCATGTTAAAAAATCTGGCCACATTATTTTGTAGTTTGACATTTGCTGTTGTCAAATTGTTGTCTCTAATTATGGAACGAACTATAGAGATTTAGTTTTCTTTTTGTGTCTAGTTCTGAGAAATATCGACTTATTTTAGCTTTACCTAAATTGAGGAAAAAGGTACGATTAATTATCCGTTGGCTTTGAGAATTGGATAAAGATTGGGCCTCCGGTAACCCCAGTCAAACGGCGAAACGCAATTCTGTGTTTGTTTCACGCCGGTTTTGTGCGAGGCCGTGTTATCACTTCGGTCGAGCCGACCCATTCGTGCCGAAGCTTGGCTCTCCCACACTTAGATTGTGATGTTTTTTTGTGAGGGGCAATCATCAACTGTCTTCTTCCGCCCAGGGTGAGGCGAGAGGGCGTGTCACACTCTTACCGACTAAAAAACGCCCCCGTACTTTCTCCTGCTTTAGGTGCGCTAGCCCCGCAACCCCGGCTGAACATCAGCCCTGTAGGGCGTGGTGGGGTAGGGGTGGTGATTCTGATGTGGGCTCTAATAATAACAAAATTTGTTTAAAAGAAGGAGTTCTTAACATATAGGTACCTACCTACTGTTGCTACTTATCGTTTGGTGGAATACGCAATTTTTTTTACAATATGAAAAAAAAATTGAGCTTATATTTTGGCTTTGTCGCTTTCAAGCCGTAATATTGTTTAAGGGAAATCATACACACATGACTTCTCCTGCCGGCCCTTGGCGGGTGAAGTCATTTGATGGTATTTTTCCCTCACAAAAAAAATACCCACGATATAAGTAGGAGAAAATTCTAGTGTGAGGCAAATTTTAAAAAGAAACTGTTAGCTTTATAACTGGACTAGTAGTGTGTGTGATATGGTAGGTACGTTTGTAAACGCATCCACGACACAGGAGAAAATTCGAGCGTCGAGGAACGCTTAAAAAATCTCGTAACTGAAGCGGACTTATTCCTGCCGAGGCCTCTAAGTTAAGACCTCTAGTCAGGGCCAGAAAAGTTACTTAAGAACGGTTCAAACGTGCGCGGAAATTTGAGACGTTTCTAATTTAAAATATGACATTTGTTGAATTCTGATAAGTAGTTTAGAAGTTACGAGGGAACAAATGAACATACATACGTGCATAGCCTGTCAAAATTATTACCCTGCTTTTGCTTTGCCGTAGTCGGGTAAAAAGTATAATCAGATTGAGTGTCGAATTCAAGAATATTCGACACTCACAATTAAATAAACATAAAATAAAAAAAAAAGGTTGAATTAATTCAAACCTGCTTAGTGTAAAACTAGTTTGGCTAGTCTAAGTACCTAAGTATATCAAAGGTTTATACTTTATTTTTTCACATTTTCTGTCTAACGATACTAAAATAGATTTGCTAAGATAGAGAATCCTTAGTGCCTAGGTCGCTAAATGTGGGAGAGTCATGCTTCGGCACAAATGCGTCGGTTCGACCGGAGTTTCGGCACTTTGAGGCGCGAATGAAACGTTACGCGCCTTACGCTCGGGCCTGGTTCTGATCGGGCGGCGAGCTGCGCTTACTCGCCGACCGCAGCCCCCCACTTACGGTGGCCGGAGATCGTCCCTTGATCCCCGACGCCCATAGTGTCGCCTGTTGCGGCGGCTGGAGCGTGAGGAGGAGGATTGCTCCCTCACGCGGGCCGCCTCCCTCTTTGCGAGCATATGCTTCACAGAAGGAGGAGACGGCGTCCCAGTTCCTCTCACTCCGCACCATGGCCTCGACTAAGGCCGGGTGCGAGATCTCGCCGCCGCCGATCACGTCCCTGAGGACACGGCGGTGCTCAGCCCAGGCAGGGCATACCGCCACCGTAGGTATGCTCCACCGTATCCTCTAGGTGGTCCTCACAATGACGACACTCGGGCGTTTCCTCCCGCTGGATCCGAAACAGGAACCTACCGAAGCTGCCGTGCCCGGTAAGGATCTGCGTCAGGCGGAAGGTGAGGACGCCGTGGCGTCTCTCAAGCCACGCCTCAAAGAGGGGTCTTACCGCTGCTATAATAGCGTGCCCGGCCCTCGGTTGCGACAGTCGTTCTTTTTACTCTGTCCTATATCGTGGGTGCGTTTACAAACATACAATATCACACATAAAAATTATTATGGCAAGAGAACATCCGCACACTCAGTTCCTAATGTAATTAATAAAATAGAGATGCTAAGAGAAGAAGGGAAAAAGTTAACCAAAGGATCTCTTAAGTCAAAATTAAAAAGCTTTATATTAGAATATTAATAAGAAGTAAGAATGTTATGTTTGTGTGTGTTTTTATGTTTTGTTTGTTATGTTAGTCAATAATTATTATTATATAAACTGTGTCATACCTAGCTATAAGTACATATATTTTAAAGAAAAAAACCCAAGTAATTGCACCTAGGTACTAAATTCACTATTATGTATAAATATGTTAATGTATAAAGAGCGCCTCTCGCCATCAAACGTTATTGTGGATCACATAAGTGTTAGACAGCTCGCGTCAAAAACAGTATTACAGTGTTGATTACGCCTTTCCAAAGACAACACGTATTAAAAAAAACTCAGGAATTAATAAACATTATTTACCTGTATCCTTGAAATACTGCATTGATCTGAAGCTGGGTTTTTTCGAAACAAACTGGTTTTAAGAAGAACTGTAATGACGTCATCTCGCTTCGGTTCTTGGAGATTTATTATAACAATCTTGCGAGTTATTCCCCGATAGTGTACAGAGGTTAGGTACCTCTGGCTGGAGGTTAAGGCTCCCGCTTCTCATACATGAAGGTACCTTACAGAAAACCGGCGTGAAAGAACCACAGCATTGAGTTCCCGTGTGAGTGGGGTTACCGGAGGCCCAATCCTTCCCCTCCCCCAATCCATAAATCTCCAAATACCTAATCGGTGTCCATGGGCTGCGCTGATTGCTTACCATCAGGTAATCCGTATGCTCGCTTGCCGACCTATGCCATAAAAAAACTTAGGTACGGGTTAAAAACCTGGCAAGTATCAATGTGACTTTTTCCGACTTATATGTACTTTCTATGATTATTTAGACACCACTGACATACGGTGAAGGTAAACATCGTGAGGAAACCTACACTTATAATTCCTAATTATAAGTTTGAAATCGCCTTGAGCAAGCGTGGTGGTTAATGCTCAAACCTTCTCCGTGTGAGAAGATCACCCTTGCTGTTGACTGATAGAGAATACCTTTGCATTGATAGAATTGGATTATTTTCTCCAATCGCTGTGGCTGCCAAAAATTGATAGCCCAATTAAATAAAATATCTTTTATATTCTAAATAGACATTTTAGTACAAGTACAAGTAAGTAAGAAATACGTAAGTAACTAAGCACTGCAGAGCCCTGATCATAGGTCTATAGGTAGCTACTGCAGTATGCTCCTATAAACTACATTTAACGATCTTTTTCCTTCAGCATAAACATGCAGATTCTTCGCTTTGGAAACGTAAGCGCAAAAAATTAGTTTTTTTACGACCTCACATTAGAAACCTCAAAAATTGTAGCCTATGTGTTATTCTGATGTATAAGCTATATTGTGGTAAAGTTTCATTCATATCCATTCAGTAGTTTTTACGTGAAAGAGTAACAAACATCCATACATCCATACTTACAAACTTTCGCCTTTATAATAGTAGTAGGATTTTGAAATGAACTCGAGCTAAATACGATTTACTTAGCTAAGCATATTAATCGGTCAATTACATTTGAAATACCTACTATTGTGTGTCTGTTATCTTTGGCGGTTTTATTACTAGAACTTTAGTCACACAGCTGATATAATAATACGTAATAATATTAATAGCCACGTAATAGTTTGCCCGTCACGATAACCGCAGCGGGCGGCGGAGGCGACACTGTCGTTGTCGGGGATCGAGCGACGATCTCCGGTCACCGTAAGCGCGGGTCTGCGGACGGCGAGCTTCCCTTGCTCGACCCGAACCAGACTCAGAAAATAAAATAGATCACCACAGACGGGGCCATATTGCAAGCTCAATATGTCACTGCAGCCCCGGGCTAGAGCAGGAGAAGGAGTGGGGGAGAGGGCTTTTTTTTTTAATGTAATAAGTCGGCAAACGAGCAGACGGATTACCTGGTGGTAAGCAATCAACGCCGCCCATGGACAGTCGCAACGGAGGAGTCACGAGTGCGTTGCCGACCTTTTAGGGATTAGGGATTTGGAGATTTAGGGATTGGGGAAGAGTCCGGGAAGGGGAAGGAT